GAAAATTGGTAGTCAGTAGTTAAAGTATTGTAATGTTTTACTAAAGAACTTAACAACACTATTAAATTATTACTGAACTTAGGTTATGAATTATTCTATTCTTTTACACTCCTGTTGATATATCACTATTCACTGTGCTATTTATTTCACTATCACTATCAAATTATTTCTGGATTCACTTCTGCAACGGTCAATTTATTTCTCCTCATCTCGGCGATCGTCTCTTCTTTTAAATACTCTTTTGTTTACTTTCGGAAACCTTCTGGAAACATCCGGATAGTTTATTTTTTGCTTTCCCAGAACGCAGGTACGACACACACATTTACAAATACGGTGCACATGAAGAAAGGCGCCCGCGGCTAGATGGGCGAATCAATAAGCCGTTCACGCACACGTGTGCCAGATCGCTCATGCTCGCTACAGTATTATAAACAATTAACCGATTAGAAATTTAATATATAGGGATGCAGTCCTGACTTCAAATAGGACTAGATGAGATAATTGTGATTGGGCCCGGATCACAAATGTGACACCTTAGATCCTTAGATCATTTAGCCCCAGTCAGGCAGTCACATCTTGGACCTGATTGGGCTACATAATTTGAACCTGATCAAATTTTCCTATTTAGATTTGACCAGAAATGTAACACGTTTAAACATTTGGTCCTAATTAAACTACCAGACTTGTTAGGGTCATGTCAATTTAAATAGAGCATGGGTTTCAAATAGGGCAGCCACATCAGGGCCGAATCAGTCCAAAAGGTTTTTATAGGGGTTTTCCAAAATCGATTGATAAATTTTTTAAGTAAAATGTAAACTTTCGAATTGTCCAAGAGAACTCTTGACCACCTTTGCGATAAACCTTGCGTGGACAAAATCTAAAATTGCAATTTTGAATCTGGCCAAATCGTCGACAATTCATTTTAAAATGTTATTAGCGATCAGCGTCGCACCGGTGACCGCATCTTGACGTGACAATTGTCGCAGTGTGCTTCCCGGATTTTTGTCATTATCCATTTTTGGCAGTCGGGAATCGGTGGCAGGCAGCAGCACTCGGCCTCATGTGTGTATGAATTAAACCGAACCAGAGTTATGTATACGTAAGTGCACCAAGAGTCCGTAGACGTAGTTGTTGGCGGTCGCAACCCGATGCTATCGATTGATGCGTCCCTATCCCTACGTGAAGTTAGAGCTGCGGGAGAGATGGAGCGTCCGCGAGAGAGAAAGAGAGGAGAGATCGACCCACTGCCAGGATAAAAATGGGTCACGGTCGGTTCGGAGTTCGTATTCATGCGTCTCGACCATATGGTCCTTCTGCAGTGGACGATTGCAAAGGGACCACAACTTCGATGCACCTTTGAAATTTATTCATAACCGTAATAAAAGATGCACTATCAAAGGGGAACCTGCAAGCGGTTTCTTTCAGGCGAAAAATTTCATTTCGTGATGACCGCGGCACAGCTCTTTGATATTTGCCAAGGAAATACGTCAAGTGTCCATAAACAACAAAAAATTCTGCCGTAAAACAATTTCATCTAAAGGCAAACTATAAACACATGATTTTTTGTAGCATTAATTCACTGTATTAGTGAATTAATTTTACCTAATTCTTAAATTAATGAGAAAAAAAAATGTTTTTGCTTCCCTCGCCGAGAATCGAACTCGAGCTCCTATTACTGTTGCGTAAAACCAGGGCCTCGGGTTCTATTCTCGGCGAGGGATTGACAACAGCAACAATTTTTTTCTCATTAAATTAAGATTCTTTGTATGACGGGAGCTTTTTTTCTTTGATTTTTATACGATTTACATCCAACAATTTTTCAAACTTTTGAAATGATCTACTACTAAATTGTAAAATTAATGGAAAACAAAATGTTTGGTCGGGCGACCCTTTTTATTGACTTTTTTCCGAGAAACTCAACCTTATGTACGAAATACCTACGCAATGTCTATTTTTAAGATAAAAATCAATTGAACATTTGCTCTGGATTGATACGACCTGTTGACACTGCTTTTTTTATGGTCTACAGTACCTTTAAACCGGTAAAGGAAATATCTTCGAACACCGATTCTATTTTCGAGTAAAGATTTATTCCAATTTATCGTCCCGTTGAAACAATATTGGTAAATCAGAGAAGTGGCTTTAATTTACAAAACCTTTAGGATTCAACGAAGTTACAAATCGTTTGGATACTTCGAACCATAAAGCACTTACATACATGGGTAGATCTGCAAGAAGTTTTCAGAAGCATATTTGAGTTAGATTCGCGAGAGAGGTTTTGTTCAAATACACGGAGGAGGCATTAACAGCAGTTGCTCCTGGAATTGGAATTATCTACGATTAGAATTTGATCACTCCCGGAAATAGTATCCATTTAATATGAATATGTACGTAATACGTGGGACGGATTTTAATCATGGCATTCTTTCGTACTGTAACCTAATCCAATCCTGGTTTTTGGCAGTTGTCTACTTATCCGTTATATGCATGCCAAACAAGGAAATCCTTCTCGTCATAACTTCACCTAAATCCTTGATGCTTAGCACAGTTATCCCTGATTTGCATTAGTATTTTATCAAAAACAAATGCCAATCACAGAATCCTTAAAAAAATCATCGATTTCCTTCGCCATTAGTATCTAAAAAAATCACTTTTTTGATGTGTTTGATATTTCATGCGCATTTTACCATATTATTTGTTGTGAAATCCGGCCGCTATCTTATCAATTTGTCGAGTCAGTGCAGGGAATGGGACAAGATCTCCCAGAAAAGTCCTGTGTGACATGTTGACTTTGCACAAATCTTGTTTCGGAAAATAGACCATAACAAATCCCGGAGATAAGCGGTCGGAACGACGAGTACTATACCTACATGTATATCGCATTCTTATGTTTCTTTTATTTTCCTTTCGCGTTCCATCGGGAAGAGGATTTTACTTGTCCTAAATGCAGTATGTATACATCGGATACACATCTAATAGATACGTGTGTACATACATTTCCGACTAAGGATAAAGAAAGGCAGGACTCGAAGGGAAATTGAAAAAAAAAAAAAGAAAAACGCGTCTTATTCTAACGAAGGCAAACAAAAACGACTCAACATGAGCCTAATTTATTATTGATAAAATTAGGGAATATAAAAAGAAATGGAGCAGGTATTCGCTATCAAGAACAACTGGAATCCCTAAAAATACGTCATCCTTACCGTTCCCGGGGGATGGGGGGGGGTGATGACTATTATTTCAAAGGCTACTCTTAATAATGATATGTTAACGTTTGTCATTTGTTCTAGCGCTTCCTTTCCCATATTTAATCCCGTATACGCGAAAGTTCCGTTCGCATCATCCCGTGGAAGGATTACAGGACTAATTTATTTTTTTTACGGGCACAAACCGGCGGGGACTAAAGGTTTCCGGTTTGCTTTAAATTCGACGCGAATGCGGGGATCATAAAAACAGACACACACACATGAAATCCTACTTTAAATAACTTCCCTTACATAACGGATCAGCCAGCGTATTTTGCGAGGGTTTTCTTTAGGATATATTTAGCTATATATAATATAAGTATGAAGCAGCACAAAAAAAAGTGTAAAATAGCTGTGGATTATCTGAGCCTGATTTTGTCCCAAAACGATTACGTGCCCGTCGTAGAATATATAACGGTTTATGATATTTTGCGAGATAAACAAGAACCAGGTGTGTCGAAATGTACGAAATGGCCCATCTTCAAACATTCCATATTTTAGTCGAAACGTTAGATTTCTCGTAGGAGGTTTCGTGGCTCATTTAGCAGAGCTTAATTTCGTTGACGTTTTCAATTAGGTCTAGGGATAATTACTGAAGGCGACCGAAAGCGCCGATATAATTATAGTGCTACTACCACAATGTGCAATAGCGGGGGGTTGTTTTAGTCCCGCTTTCCTCCCTCTGACTCGTGTAGCGTGCGCCCCAGCGTAATTATTCTAAACAATTCCGTCACCACGCATTCTGCGGTTAATATCGGCATAAACAACGACAGGGGATGTTAAATTGTTATTTATTAACTGGTTATAACGACAGCAAAGAGCGAATAATGGTTTAATTTTGGAGTGTGGTCACTTGAATAATAAATTAGGATATTCAAATATTTCTGAAAACAAATCTTCCGCCAGTTTACATTTGCCCAGAAGAAAACAGAAACCTAGCGAAACAAAAACATTGTGTAATTAGTAGGAAAGTTCTTTTGTTGAAATTGTTTCGTTTTTCGTTTTTAAAACTGTCATCTTCAAAGGCATTCGTTCAATAGATGCCTGTAGCCTGTGGCGATATCCTTTTGAAAGTATAAGAGAGACGTAGCGAATATCGCAAAGACTTCTCGTTCAAATACACATCCGAGAAAAATCACAGATAAAAATCGTTGCTATATTTATTTTTTGGTTCCTTTACAAAAATTCGATTTTTCTATAGAAGTTGGATCTTTTTGTAAAAATGTCCTTACAGAAAATTCCAGTTCCATTAGTAATAGTCCCCGATATATACAGTTTAAAACAGAGTTAACAGAAAGGGAATAAATAAGGATTTGTTTAAATAATATGTATTAGGAGAAGCTTAACTTAGTATAAATCATTGCTTTGTAGATTGAACTTTGGTTCGCCCTTTTAGTTTGTGTTGTTTATATTTCAATGGATTTGCATATTTAACAAGACCGGCTGTATTAGTATTATTCATGGTACGATAACGCTTATCCGGATTATTTCTATACAACAACTGGACATATTAGTGATAACACTTCTACTTAATAACTTCCATCAAAATTTCGCATATATATGCACGTCTTTTCGGGACAAAACTTAAATTCATAATCCACTAAGATAAAATCGATAAAAAAATCAATATTCTTATGATGCCTGTAAGTTTTTTGTGTCAGAACCGACACTGTATAACTACTTAGGTCATCTTTTTCTTTTTCAGTTTCATACTTGAGTAAAGACAAATTATGTTACACTTTTTTTTAATTGCAGGTTCTTTGTGAGCTTCTACCTGTTGGAATGCCAGAAAGTAAGTAAATACGTCTTCTATCTTGTACAACTCTTTTTTTGAGAAAATCTATATTTAAATGCGCTTTTGAACAGAACCAGATACGATCGCAAAAAGTAATCGATTCAAGTATTTCGCTGAAAATATAATTAAAAGCTCTTCCAGCTTAGAGGTAATAAGGAGCCAGAAATTACGTAAAAAGTCATTTTTGTATTACATCCATCAGTTTTAGTAATCAATAAATACTAGAAGTGGAAGTAAAATATACGTTTCAGGCATTTAGGCATATAGAAATAATAAAATTGGAAATATCTCTCAAAAACAAAAAAAAAAAAAGTGAAGGTTAGTCTTCGATATTGAGGAAGACGATTCTCTTTTGTTTTGGTTACATATCCCTTACACCCTATTAATCACATGGGTGGATTTCAAACGATTTGGGAACGAAAACTATCTATCTCACACAAAGCCAATTAGGTCCGAAATACTTGTCAATTTAGTTCCATATGTGAGTTTAATTCTTCCGGTCGAAAATCCCTACCAAGTAAATTCAATTGTCAAATAGACCACTCTCTAATTTACTCAAATCACATCAGCGAAAGCTCATTCGTGGACACGGCCATCGATAAAATCAAAAACTTTATTTACGCAGGGGATTCACAGTTTCCCAATTGAAACGACTTCGGTAAAAACAGGTTTTCGATTTAATTAATTAAAATTCTATTATATTAGAAATACTTTGATTTCCCCGAAGAGCCGCAACGCGAACCCTAGTTTAATTCCAATTGAACTGTGGCAGTGGCAGCAAAGGTCTGTCTTAGAATTAAAGGGGGAAAAAGGGAATTTTTTGCTTTTCATTCGTCGAAGGAACGAAGAATTAATGTTAATTTTCCGCGCCAGTAAAAAAAAGAAAGAGAAAACAAAAGAAGACAAAACAAAAACAGAGAAACAAACAAACGAAGATTCCAATGAAAAATGGTCGTCGTCGAGTGCAACTGTAAGAATTAAATATATCCGAACGTGGAATATACTTTTCTAGGAGGGAGAGAACTAAGTATCACTGTGTGTATATGTGTGGGTGTGCTAAGTGGGTGAACTTTTGATAAATGTTAGAAGTTGTCGAGTCAGCTTCACTCTCCCTCATTTCGAATTAATCCTGCGTGCGCGCAGGAGAGGGTTGAAAAATTGCGTCTGATGATGCAGAAGAAGAGAGATAATCAACAGCTCAAAACCCCATTCGCACNACCTACAAAATATATGTTTGTGGTTTTGAAACGTTTGGAGATTATCTTTCAATCATAATTTAGTCAATTAATAATTAAATCTATTGAAAACGTGTAAGAAGCACTGTAGAGTTTGATGTTTATTTTGTTACTCAGATTTAACACAAGATTCCTATGTTTTTTGTTATTTACTTTGTAACAAAACAGATGAACGTACTTCTTTTGTTATTTGTCTTAAAAGCGTTTAAAAAAAAATGAACAACAATTAATAACAGGCAACTGTTTCATTGATTAGTAAATAATTTAACATAGTTATGGTACGCCAGGATGCATTTTTGAAACTCATTAGGATCCGATTAAATTTTCAGCAGGCACAATTGAAAACACATTTCTGTTTCGGGTTAATGCGATAGATTAATATCTATACGCTGGATGTACACACAGTAAATGCGTCAAAATTTTTAATTCTCTTTTGAGCATCAGCTATATCGGATTCGTCGAAATAACGAACGCTGTTTTGGCCTGTCGTGACAATCAACAAATGCTTTTATTGATTTATAGGGTGGCTATTACAGCTGTCAAACTTTTCACAATGTGCGCGTTTAGAAAACTGACACAAGATTGATTACGGTATGATAGCACACGTTTCGCCACTTTTCGTCAAATATTTGGTCAATTCTACCCTTGCCGAAAAAAGAAAATTGGAATGACACATAAAATCACATTCTTCTATTTTTAACAATATCTATCGCAATATGTAAAAACAAAACAGCATCTGCTGCTGTTCTTTTTTGTTTTTGAGATGTGATTGTTTATTGGAAGAATCATGTAGTTCTTTTTTCTTTTAAAGATTAAGTTTTGATTGCTTTCTTGCGTTGAGTTTCGAAAGCTGTGATTTGAGTTTGGGTCGCAGAATCTCTTAAATAATAATTGCATACGTGGAAAGTTTGAGATCGAATTTAATGCATTAAAAGTTTCGAACATGTCAGTTTTCTAACATCTGCAGCCAACGGCACAGTTAGAATGGATCTAGCAGTTTCACATGTTGACTCCAATGTCCTTTAGAAAGCAAAGTTCGGAATTGCTGAAGGGCTTTTAGAATATTGTGGGCACTTTACACCACCGGAATTCGTCCACACCATAAATAAAGGTGCAAATACTCTACAGTTACACGTAAATATTGAATCGCGAATGGAATATTAAATTAACGCGTACTACCTCATGTATTTTTCATTTGTTTCATGAAAATTTGATCAAAATAAACAGAAGACGATTGGCGCTTGTATTTTGTTTTATTTTGTTTCATTATCTTTTGTTGAATTAACAGAATCTCTAATAAAATATTTAACGCGTACTAAAAGCATTTTTCTTTTGTTTCTCTAAAATTTGACCAAAATAAACAGGAGACGATGGGCGCTTGTATAGTAAATGCTTCAATTCAGACCAAAAAACATTTATAAAAAGTATTAGTAAGTTTTAGAATACAGCGGTTCAGTAAACAGAAAAGTTAGAATTTTTAGAATAAAAAAATGGTGGATGCGCCGGACAGAAATATAAAATGAGACGTTTGTGGTACACAACTTCGACAATATCCATAAATTTGCACATTCCTCAGTTAAAATTAAACGAAATACCAAATGTTTTTCGTAATTCCTGGAATGGTTTCCATTTTCAAAAACCTTTTTACAGAGTCAACGTAGGCACCTATATTAAGTTGTTTTTTTATACTTTCTAAGAATTTTACGAATGAATACTTGTAAAGAAATAAAAAGAAATTAGATTCTTGGAAAACGGCTACAAGCGAGAAGATTCTAAGAAAATTGCGTACAAAGTTAGCTACTCGGAAAATTCTCGAACCCTTTTCTTCCGACAAAATTTTCCAAATAATAAAGAAAATCGCTTGAAGGAAAATACTTTGATTTTATAGCGAAAATTAACTAAATGTATATAAACTATTCACAAAGTTCATTGCTGCTTGAGAAGATTCAATAACAATCTTTCGTCATTAAAGGTTTCGTCATTAAAGGTTTCCTTTCTCAAATCATATTCAATTGTTTTAATGGTTTAGCATTCTCCCATCGAACAAAATAGTTCCCAGAAGACTAAATTTTANTTATTTCTGGATTCACTTCTGCAACGGTCAATTTATTTCTCCTCATCTCGGCGATCGTCTCTTCTTTTAAATACTCTTTTGTTTACTTTCGGAAACCTTCTGGAAACATCCGGATAGTTTATTTTTTGCTTTCCCAGAACGCAGGTACGACACACACATTTACAAATACGGTGCACATGAAGAAAGGCGCCCGCGGCTAGATGGGCGAATCAATAAGCCGTTCACGCACACGTGTGCCAGATCGCTCATGCTCGCTACAGTATTATAAACAATTAACCGATTAGAAATTTAATATATAGGGATGCAGTCCTGACTTCAAATAGGACTAGATGAGATAATTGTGATTGGGCCCGGATCACAAATGTGACACCTTAGATCCTTAGATCATTTAGCCCCAGTCAGGCAGTCACATCTTGGACCTGATTGGGCTACATAATTTGAACCTGATCAAATTTTCCTATTTAGATTTGACCAGAAATGTAACACGTTTAAACATTTGGTCCTAATTAAACTACCAGACTTGTTAGGGTCATGTCAATTTAAATAGAGCATGGGTTTCAAATAGGGCAGCCACATCAGGGCCGAATCAGTCCAAAAGGTTTTTATAGGGGTTTTCCAAAATCGATTGATAAATTTTTTAAGTAAAATGTAAACTTTCGAATTGTCCAAGAGAACTCTTGACCACCTTTGCGATAAACCTTGCGTGGACAAAATCTAAAATTGCAATTTTGAATCTGGCCAAATCGTCGACAATTCATTTTAAAATGTTATTAGCGATCAGCGTCGCACCGGTGACCGCATCTTGACGTGACAATTGTCGCAGTGTGCTTCCCGGATTTTTGTCATTATCCATTTTTGGCAGTCGGGAATCGGTGGCAGGCAGCAGCACTCGGCCTCATGTGTGTATGAATTAAACCGAACCAGAGTTATGTATACGTAAGTGCACCAAGAGTCCGTAGACGTAGTTGTTGGCGGTCGCAACCCGATGCTATCGATTGATGCGTCCCTATCCCTACGTGAAGTTAGAGCTGCGGGAGAGATGGAGCGTCCGCGAGAGAGAAAGAGAGGAGAGATCGACCCACTGCCAGGATAAAAATGGGTCACGGTCGGTTCGGAGTTCGTATTCATGCGTCTCGACCATATGGTCCTTCTGCAGTGGACGATTGCAAAGGGACCACAACTTCGATGCACCTTTGAAATTTATTCATAACCGTAATAAAAGATGCACTATCAAAGGGGAACCTGCAAGCGGTTTCTTTCAGGCGAAAAATTTCATTTCGTGATGACCGCGGCACAGCTCTTTGATATTTGCCAAGGAAATACGTCAAGTGTCCATAAACAACAAAAAATTCTGCCGTAAAACAATTTCATCTAAAGGCAAACTATAAACACATGATTTTTTGTAGCATTAATTCACTGTATTAGTGAATTAATTTTACCTAATTCTTAAATTAATGAGAAAAAAAAATGTTTTTGCTTCCCTCGCCGAGAATCGAACTCGAGCTCCTATTACTGTTGCGTAAAACCAGGGCCTCGGGTTCTATTCTCGGCGAGGGATTGACAACAGCAACAATTTTTTTCTCATTAAATTAAGATTCTTTGTATGACGGGAGCTTTTTTTCTTTGATTTTTATACGATTTACATCCAACAATTTTTCAAACTTTTGAAATGATCTACTACTAAATTG